GCCCAGGGACAGCACCCAGGCCCTGAGTTCAAGCCCCAGGATGGGTGTACACACACACACACACACACACACACACACACACACACAGATGGTTAGTGACAACTGAGCCAGGGACCAGTTGTTTACCCTGTAATCCTAACTACGGAGGAGGCTGAGATGTGAGAATTCTGGTTTGAAACCATCCTGGGCAGACAAATCCAAGAGACTTATTTTTAATTAACCAGCAAAAACCTGGATCAAGTGGTAGAGTACCAGCCTAGAGCAAAAAAAAGTCAAGTTGAGAGCATGAGACCTTGAGTGCAAGCTCCAGTACCGGCGTACACAGAGAAAGAGAGACAGAGACAGAGACAGAGAGAAAATAATGACAAGCAGACTTGGAAAGTGGAGCCAGAGGCTGAGTACCAGTGGCTCATACCTGTAATCCTAGATACTCCAGAGGCTGAGATCTGAGGATCATAGTTCAAAGCCAGCCTATGCAGAAAAGTCCCCATGAGACTCTTATCTCCAATTAATCACCAAAAACTGGAAGTGGAACTGTGTTTCCACATGGTAGAGTGCTAGCCTTGAGCAAAAGAGCTCAGGGACAGTGCCCAGGCCCTGAGTTCAAGCCCCGTGTGCAAAAAAAAAAAAAAAAAAGGAGCCTGAGAGTTGGTTTTGGACCTGTTAGGTAGAAATATCTAGTAGATATCAAAGCAGCGATGTAAAAGAAACATCTAGGCAGGGTCTGGAGCTTAGGGGAGAGGCTAGGGCTGGGGTGTCAATTTTGGACTCTCTAGCATAGAGATGCTTCTCAAAGCTGGGGGAGCGGGGCTAGGTAAGATCACAAGGACCAAGTGGACACAGAGGAGAGACGGATGCAAGAATTGTGCATAAGAGTGCACTGCCATTTAGAGGTGGGAAAGGGGAACCAGTGAAATAAGAGAAGAACCAGGAGGAGGGAATGTTCCAGAGGCCAAGTAAGGAAGGAATTTCCAGAGGGCAGGGTGGACTGTGTCCCACGTGCTCATGGGGGATATACAGAGGCCACAGTGGCTTTGAAGACGCTGATTCAGGCATGGTGGGTGGGACAGAGTGGTGGTTGGGGAGAGAATGGGAACTGAGGAAGTGGAGGCTGAGAGCAGAGACCACAAAGAGAAGTTTCTGAATGGGGGTGGGGTGGGGACGGGGAGTAGAACCGAATCTAGGAAGAAATGGTAGAGAGGGATTTTAAACAAAATGTATTAAAGAATGCTTGTAGGGCTGGGATTGTGGTTTAGTGGTAGAGTGCTTGCCAAGCATGCATGAAGCCCTGGGTTCGATTCCTTAGTACCACATACACAGAGAAAGCTGGAAGTGGTGCTGTGGCTCAAGTGGTAGAGTGCTGGCCTTGGGCAGAAGAAGCTCAGGGATAGTACCCAGGCCCTGAGTTCAAGCCTGGGGAACGGCAAGAAAAAAAAAAAAGAATGCTTTTATATGCCAACAGTGAAGGACAAACTAGGAGAAAGAGGCTCTCCTCTCTCACTTCAACTCCTGCCTGAGCTCTGTGTCCAAAAGACGAGTCAGATCCAGTCAAGTCCATGAGTCCACTTGCCCACCCCTCCATCTGCTGCCCGATGGAATCAATTCTGCCTTCCTCAGTCTGGCTTTGCCCTGCCTCCTATCTTGACCATCCCAGAATTCCCTCTGCTCCCCTCTTACCTGCCTGCTGCCCACACACACTCAAGTTGTGAGCCACCCCCCATTCCCCAAACCTTCCTGCTTTTATTTTTCTTCTCCAAGAATCACATCAGGGCCCCCAATCACCACTCACTGGCTGTGAGCTGCCATCTGACACACAGCAGGTTGGCATGCTTGCAATAGTACACCAGACATGGTGACTCACACCTGTAATCCCAGCTACTCCAGAAGCAGAGATCAAGAGGATCACAGAGGCTAAGCAGCTGTGGCACAAAAAATTAGTGAGCTCCCCTCTCTACAAATGAGCTGAGGAGCCAGGCACCAGTAGCTCATGCCTGTAATTCTCCCTACACGGAAGACTGAGATCTGAGATCTGAGGGTCGTGGTTGGAAGCCAGTCCAGACAGATAAACCTATGAAACTCATATTGCCAGTAAAATGCTAGAAGTGGAGGTGAAGCTCAAGTGGTAGAATGCCAGCCTTGAGTGGGGAAGCCAAGGGACAGTGTGAAGCCCCTAGTTCAAGCCCGAGTACTGGCCCAAAGAAAATAAAAGGGTTTTTTGCTGGTCCTTGAACTTTGGGCCTGGATGCTGTCCCTGAGCTTCTTTTACTCAAGGAGAGCACTCTACCACTTGGACCACAGCCACACTCCCAGCTTTTTTGAGTGGTTTATTGGAGAGAAGAGTCTCACAGTTTCCTTTCGGGGCTGGTTTTGAACCCTGATCCTGAGATCTGAGCCTCCTGAGTAGCTAGGATTACAGGCATGAGCCACTGGTGCCCAATTAAGAAAAAAAAAATTGGGCTAGGAAGGTGGCTCAGTGGTAGAGCACTTGCCTTGCATGCCTGAGGCCCTGGGTTTGATTCCTCAGCACCACATAAGCAAAAAGAAAAAAGCCGGAAGTGGCGCTGTGGCTCAAGTGGTAGAGCGCTAGCCTTGAGCTGAAGAGCTGAGGGACAGCGCCCAGGCCCAGAGTTCAGGCCCCACGACCGGACCCAAAAAAAAAAAAGAAAAAAAATTGTTGCCAGTCCTGGGTCTTGAACTCAGGGCCTGGTCGCTGTCCCTGAGCTTCTTTTGCTAAAGGCTAGCACTCACCACTTGAGCCAGAGCGCCATTTCCAGCCTTTTTTGTGTGTGGTACTGAGAAACCGAACCCAAGGCTTCATGCATGCTAAACCACATTTCCAGTCCCAGAAAAAAATATTTAATAAGCTATGTCTGTGGTGCCTATAGCTCCAGCCACTGGAAGTAGGTGAAACATGGTTCAAGCTGGCCCCAGAGGAAACCCTATAAAAACCAAATGGTCTAAAAGCTAAAAAGGGGCCAAGTACATGGCTCCTCTACCACGATACTTTCCTATCAAGCTCAAGGGCTTTCCTTCAAACCCTCAATACTTCCATTAAAAAATAATAAAGAAATAAACAACAGTACCTATGAGCCAAGCAGGACAATGTACAAATATAATCCTAGCAGGAGAGAGGCTGAGGCAGGAGAACTGAAAGTTTGAGACCAGCCTGGGCTACCTAGGAAGAACCTCATCACAAAAACGTCCCTCTGCCAGAACCCGTGCTTGTAATCCTAGCTACTCAGGAGGCTGAGCTCTGAGGATCTCCGTTCAAAGCCAGTCCAGACAGGAAAGTCTATGAGGCTCTTATCTCCAATTAACCACCAGAAAACCGAAAGTGACGCTGTGGCTTAAGTGGTAGAGTGCTCACCTTGAGCTGAAGAGCTCAGGATAGGATCCAGGCCCAGAGTTCAAGCTCATAACCGAAAAAAAAAACAAAAAAAAAAACCAACAACAACAAAGTCTCTCTGAGGGCACAGTAGTGCCTGTCTCACAGAATTGTTTGAGCCCACACAAAGCACATGTAGCCTGGCTCTACAGGTGATAAACCAGAACTGATACTGCCATCCTGTGGAAAGCCCTCTTTTATCTTCCTTACCTCAGCCGTATTTTTTGTGTCAATCCTGGGGCTTGAACTCAGGGTCTAGGTGCTGGCCCTCAGCTCTTTTGCTCAAGGCTAGCTCTCTATCACTTGAGCTACAGCTCCATTTCTAGCTTTTTTAGTGGTTAGTTGGAGATAAAAGTCTCATGGACCTTTCTGCCTGGGTTGGCTTTGAACTGCGATCCTCAGATCTCAGCTTCCTGAGTAGCTAGGATTACAGGCGTGAGCCACTGAGCTACCTGGCACCTTAGCCATACTTTACTTACCCACTGCCTGACTCCAAGGCACTGAGGGCTTGGTCAGTTTATCAGCATATGAGAAAGATGCTACAGTTGGCAGCTTATCCATGCTTATCCATGTCCGTGCCACAGGCCCGTGAGGGTTAGAGTGGGACGTTCTCAGGTTGAAGATTTGGATGGCTCCTCCTCTAGAAGGCTGGCTCCCCTGAACCCAAAGACCCACTTGCTCACCCCTACCATGTGAGTCCCTGGTGAAAGATCATCTTGCTTAGGAGCAATCTCCAACCTCAAATACAATGCACTGCTCAATCTCTCTGCCTCTCTCTCTCTCAGTCTCCCTCTTTGTATCTTTCTGTGTGTGTCGCTCTCCCTCTCCCTCTCTCTCCCTCACTTTCCCCCCATATACACACATACACATACATACAACAAAACCCACTATTGAAGAATCAAGGACTCTCAGCTGGGTGCTTGTGGCTCACACCTGTAATCCTAGATACTAAAGAGGCTGAGATCTGAGGATTGCCATTTGAAAGTCCATGAGACTCTTATTTCCAATTAACCACCAAAAAGCCAGAAGTGGAGCTGTGACTCAAGTGGTAGAGTGCTAGCATTGAGCACAAAAACTCAGAGTTATTACCCAAGGCCTAAGTTCAAACACCAGGAGCAACGTACACAAACACAAACACGCGCGTGCACACACACACACACAAGAATCAAGGACTCTACAAGCATAAAGCCACTGCCACCTGCCCCAGAATCATCCCGTCTAACTAAGTTGTACTCTCAGAACTGGAGCCCGGATCTGTGTTTGCAACTCTGTGACAAGCTCTAGCATTTGAGAACCACTATGAGATTCCAGGTTCATGAAGGCAGATCTGAAATCCAGTTCATTTCTCTCCTCCCAGTGTCTAACCTAGAGTCTGTCTCTACAGAGGGGCTCAATGAATGTCTGATGAAATGAATAGCTTAGTCATTTCCTCAGCTGGGCAAGAGAAATAATCACATGACACCTTCCCAATAAGAAATAATGACACCAATAGGAAGGACTGTGTATGTCAATGTTTATGAAGAGCCTCAAGCAGAGCCTGGCCCATAGTAGCACTCTATCAATGGAATACACACACACCTATGAACATGTACACTTGAACACAAACTACTCCTAAAGGTTACACCATCTAAATTTATTAGAAACAGACCAACAAAAAAGGAAGGGGTGAAGAGAAGGCCCAGCCCACCTCTCCTCCTTCCGGCCTCCAGAACACATCACCAGTTTGTATCCAGCAAACTGGCTCATTCCTCCCCATGAGAATGGTCCTGGTAGAGACCCATGCGGTGCCGCTGAAGCAAGAAGGAAGCCCTACTCCTCAGGGCACTGCAGGATGTCAAAGGTCACGTAGCCCACTTGATCCACCTGGTTCACCTCTTCGCGGGAACTCACACGCCAGAAGAAACGGTCTTGACAGAAGTAGGCTTTTTCTGCAGAGGAATAGCAAGCATCAGTCTAGAGGCCATCCCTGCCCGCCCGCTGACACCCACTAGAGACAAGAGCAAGAGCTCTACAATCACCCCTCCTGGATTTTCTAGATCCTTCCAAGGTTTTCACATCACGCTTCCATCTCCACCGCCTGCCTGGATGATGTGGAGGGCACAGACCCCATAGCTCAAACCACAGGCACAGAGCCTGGCACGAAGTAGGCACTCTGTACACATTTTGTGAATGAACCAGCAGATGAATGAGCTGATGGCCTATTTTAGTGCTCAGGACAATTCATTCCATGTGCATTCACTAAACAAACCCATTCGTTCATTCATTTTCAACCAATATTTACTGAGTGCCTACTATATGTCTAATGCTGCGGGAGGTGGCTAGGAATACAACGAAGAAAAAGTGCGGGCACAACTCAACTCTTTTGGTGCTCACCGTTTAATGGGGCAAGAAAGCAATTGCCAAACAAATCTGGAAATGAGATTGGTATGACAATGTAGAAAGCTATGGACGAAATAGAAACAAGTAAACAAATAACAGGTATCCGAGACAGCCTATGAGACTGTGGCATTATGACCTGAAAGATCATAATGAGAGAGGGAGAAAGAGAGGTAGGGGGAGAGAGAGGGAGGGGAAGAAAGAGACAGAGAGAGGGAGGAGAGGGAGAGAAAGAGACAGAGAGAGGGAAAAGATGGAGAGGTGGGGGGGGAGAAGACTGGTGAGAATTATGGAGAAAGCTTTCCAGAGGGAACTGGCAGAGGTGCAAAGCTAGGAATGACCTTGATCTATTCAAAGGGCAACCAGTGTAGGTAGAGCAGAGTGAATGCCAGCAGTTTGAAGAGGAAAACACCAAGACCAAGGTACACAGTGGAAGGGGTGGTCAGATCCTACTCTCTCTCTCTCTCTCTCTCTCTCTCTGCTAATACTGAGGATTGAACTCAGCCTTGTGCTCTCACTTAGCATTTCTGCTTGAGCCATACATAGTTATAATAGTTATAATCCTGGCTTTTTACTGATTAATTGGGCTTTTCTGTCCAGGCTGGCTTTGAGCCACAACCCTCAGATCTCAGCCTCCAGAGTATCTAGGATTCCAGGCATGAGCCACCAGCACCCAGCTCAGATCCTGGTTTTCTCTCAGACCTTAGAATGGGCTTGGGGACACCTCAGGACTATTTCCCTCCAGTCCAAACATCTCCCTATGCCCAGAGAATCCACTAAAGGTGACGGACAGCCAATTGTGTTTGCTGAGGTGTTTGCAAAGGCAATAATGAAAAATGATAGATTAAGAAAAGACTAGAGCCGGGCGCCAGGTGGCTCACGCCTATAATCCTAGCTACTCAGGAGGCTGAGATCTGAGGATTGTGGTTCAAAGCCAGCCCAGGCAGGAAAGTCTGTGAAACTCTTATCTCCAATAAACACCAGAAAACTGGAAATGGCGCTGTAGCTCAAATGGTAGAGCACTAGCCTTGAGCTGAAGAGCTGAGGGACAGCACTCAGGCCCAGAGTTCAAGCCCCATGACCAACAAAAAAAACAAAAAGAAGAAGAAGAAGAAAGAAAAGACTAGAATCAATACCTTCTCAAGTGATGGGTTTGGGCCAGTGCAAAAGAGAAAGAAAATCTAACTGTTGCTGTCATCTCAAATTTACAGCTAGGGAAACAGAGTAGCAGTGCCTTGCCTGAAGACACACAGCCATGAATTGTGTCATTCCTGTTATATTCTTAGTGGCATCCCAGTGCCTGACATACTATAGGCACTTGGCAACTATTGTCTAATACAGGCGCTGAGCACTGCTGGCTCACACCTAGAATCCTAGCTACTCAGGAGACTGAGTTCTGTGGTTCACAGTTCAAACACAGTCAGGTCAAAAAATCCCATGGAACTCCTATCTCCAATCAAACCACCAAAAAGCTCAAAGTGAAGCTGTAGCTCAAGTAGTAGAGCATTAGCTTTGATCAAAAAAAGCCAAAGGACAGAGCCCAGGCCCTGAGTTCAAACTCCAGGACACATATGGAAAGAGTCTCTGTCAACCACATGACCCAGGCCAGAGAACAGCTTCTAGCCTGGGATGCAGGAAATGGGGTCCTTGCCCTGCCTGTACCCCCTGGCTGTATACCTTTTTACCCTGCTGAGAACCTGGCCCCCCTCTAAGACCAGAGAGCCCCGCCCCGGCCTGCACCCTCACCTCGGTACTGGAAGATGTCGTGCGTGTTCCAGGGCACCCCGGGGAACATCCTGTCCAAGTCAGTAGCGCTCTGGGGATCCACCTTCTGCATCTTCAGGTCCAGCCTGCAAGGAGGAAGCAGAGGGATGGACGCGTGCTGGGCCCGCGGGCGGGCGGCGCTCGGGCTCCCCCTGCCGGCGGCCGGCGGCACTCACCTCCAGAAGCGCTGGCCCGCGAACAGCAGCGCCTTCCCCCCTCCGCGGGGGAGGACCCCGGCCACGCGGGCCACCTCGGGGCCCAGGCCCAGCTTGTCCAGGCGCCTCGGGCCCAGCACCGACGCGCCCGAGTACACCCACACGTGGCGTCCTGCGGGAAGGAGGGGCGTGGGTCGCAGGGGGCGCGGGGGAGGCCAGGCCCCGGGGCGCAGAGCCTCTCCCCTCAGGCGGCGTTAAGTCGCCCCCGCCGGGAAGGGGCACTGACCCGAGAAAAAGAAAATCTTCTTGGACAGCGGATCCTCAAACGCGGAGTCCAGCCTGGCGGGCAGCGCCGGCCAGGTGTCGGCGATCCGGAAGGGACCCTGCAGCCGGCGCCCTCCGGCCGAGGTCAGTCGCCAGTACCGCCTGCGAACACGGAAAGGAAACGCGGAGCGCTGAGCCTGACCCCCGCCCCCCGCGACCCCTGAGGTCGAGAGGTCTGAGATCCGAATCCCCCCCCCTCCTCACCCCTCCTTGAAGAAATGCAGGACGGATCCGATCTCCGCGATGGCATCAAAAATGTGCACCTGGCAGGGATCGTCGGCCGGGTCCACAGGCGCTGTAGGAGCCTGGGAAGGGCCAGCCGTCGGGGGGCCAGTAGGCCCGGCCGTGGGGGGCCTTGTAGGGCCAGCTGAGGGGGGCCCTGTAGGGCCGGATGTGGGGTAGGCAGTGGGAGGCAGGCTGGGGCAGGCTGTTAAGGGTGCCGTGGGCTGTGGCTCAGGTGCAGCGGTGGTTGGAGGCCTTGGACCTGGTGCAGGGCCAGGACCTAAAGAGAGACAGTGGCTCAGACACCCCCATTCTGTAGAAGTTTCTTTCCCCCATCCCCATCCCCTTTGAACTCTCCTCACTCAGAGGATGGAGCCTGCCTTCCCTCCCCACTGTTTCCCATACTCTAACTAGGCTTTCAATCATGCAGGTGTTAGCCATTTCTGGGCTGTATGAGACTCGGGGCTAGCTAGGCCTTGTGGACAGAAGACAGGCAGAACCCCTTCTGTCCCGTTCCAGACCAGGAGAGAAAGTGTGTCTTTTCGCCATGTCATACAGTGCTAACAGCTTTATAAACTCACTTTATAAACTGGCTCCTTTGATCTTCAAAGAAAGACTGGATGAGACGCTTCAATCGCCCCACTTTTTAAAAAATGAGGCACTAATACCAGGTCATGAGAAGTGATAACAGCAAAAGCACCAAGCATGTGATGCCTACTGAGGAGCTACGATTACAGGTGTGAGCCAACGTGATGCCTCCCGTAAGCCAGGCATCTCTCTGAGACCCTGTGAGGCCAGACTATTGTCAATCATTAACCCCACTCTGCAAATTAGGAAATCAAGGGACAAACTGATATACCCAAAATCTATTTTGGAGTGGCTGGACTATTTGGGATTGGTTAGGGGGGTATTTTAGTTTTAATGGTGGGGTAGAACCCAAGGCCTCCTGCATGCTAGACAAGTACTGTACTGCTGAACTAAACCCTTGAACCTAGGTCTAACTTCCCCTAGAATCTAGGGGTTTGTTTTGTTTTGTTATAGGTACTGGGACTTGAACTCAGAGCCTCAAACTTGCTGGGATGGGTGGCTTACAGCTAGCACTCTACCACTTGAGCTACACCTCAGAGTTTTGTGTGTGTGTGTGTGTGTGTGTGTGTGTGTGTGCGTAGGGGGGGTCATGAACTCAGGGTCTGGGCAGTGTCCCTGAGCTTTTTTGCTCAAGGCTAGCACTCTACTGCTTTGAGCCACAGCTCAACTTCTGGTTTTCTGATGTTCATTGGAGATAAGAGTCTCACTGGCTTTGACCTGTGGCTTTGAACTGTGATCCTCAGATGTCAACCTGCTGGGTAGCTAGGATTACAGGTGTGAGCCACCAGCACCAGGCTTCTAACTTATATTTTTGCTGGTTAACTGGAGATGGAAGTCTGGAAAGCTCTTCTGCCTGGGCTGGCTTCTAATCTTGATCTTCCTGTCTTCAACCTCCTGAGTAGCTAGGGTTGTAAGCATGAGCCACCAACACCTGGCTAGGTCTGAGTTCTTCAGCCAGTACCATCTCCAACTCCTCACCTGGCAAAGAGAGAGCCTAGGCCCTATCCCAGAAATGTTCGAATACACCCCTCCCTTCTTTTCCTCACTTTCATCTTCTGGTCCAGTGGCTGGGCTACACCCTTCCCTAAGCTCCTTCCACCAGGGCTCACCGTAGAGATGCTGGATGCCCTTTACATCGTCCTCATGCAGGGGGGAGCCCTCAAGGAAACGGTACATGGGGTACATGAGAGCCTCTGGCACAGATGAGTGATCTAAGCCCAGCGCATGTCCAAACTCATGGGCTGCCACTAGGAACAGGCTGTACCCTGGAGGGAAGAGGGAGCCTGAGGCTTGAGCTCTGCCAAGCTGAGCCGAGCCAAGCCCAGCCACTCCACCATCACCACCACCACCACCACCACCACGGTGGAAAGAGGGGGCTGCAGCCTCCAGCCCCCAAGCCTCACAACCTCACCCACCTTGATCAGGGCAAAAGCCCCACTTCTTGTCATTGTCGAAGCTGGAGGTGGTGGCGCACCAGAGGCGCCCATCGCTGCGCCCCTCGCTGGTACAAGTGGAGTAGTCCTTGCCCAGGAAGGTGAAGGGGAAGGTGCACAGCTCTCCCGCCGCGTTGCCCCCGATCACAGTGGAGTCAGCTAGAGAGACCCCAGGGTCTTGGGTAAGCCGGGTAGGTGGATCCAGTAAGGTGCCAGGCAAGGCAAACTTAAGAGCTAGAGAGTCTTGGTGATGTGAGTGCTCATGCAAGCGTGCCCATGCTGAGGTACACATGGTTTCTCGCCCTCACTTGGCTGTGTTGCTCAAAGCTGGAACTTTACCACTTTGAGCCACTGGCTCCACTTTCGGCTTTTTGGTAGTTAATTGAAGAGTCTCACAGAGTTTTCTGCACAGACTGGCTTCAAATCATGATCCTCAGATCTCAGCCTCCTGAGTAGCTTGGATGACAAGGCATGAGCCCTGCCTGGCTCCGTGATCTACTTTTGTGTATTTATTTTTGCTTATATATTAATGTGTTTAATTTCTGGAAACAAGTCATAGAGTGGTCTATTTTTAAAAGCCCCAAGGGATGCTGTGGAGCATGGCTGCACCAGGAAATACTAAAGAGCAGAGGTGGGGATCAGATATCAAAGAGGCTGCAGGGCAAGCAAAATATGGTCACGTGATCGAGGGGGCGGGGTTGGTATAGGAATGTGGTCAGACGGGGAGTGGAGAAATGAGGAAGAGTCTCATTTTGGGAGCCCTGTGAAGGCGGGGGTTGGGGGGAGAGAGTCGGTACCTCGGGTGGGACAGAAGCCATACAGCTTGTCCTGGTCGTAGTTGGCCGTGGTGGCGCACCAGCGGTAGCCGTCGGAGCGGCCCGCGGTGGTGCAGGCGGAGTAGGAGCGGCCCTCGAAGATGAATGGAAACACGCAGGGCTTGCCATCCGCGTTGCCATGCTGCGTGTAGAGCCCTGAGGAGACCCCAACGCTGAGCCCGAGGGCCCCCCACCCCGTTCCCCACTCTAGAGAGGAGGAAACAGCCCAGCGGAGGAGGTGGATCAGCACCTAAGGTTCCGGCCCCTCAGTGCTCCCCTAAAATGAGAGCCCCCCTTAGATCAGCACCGAAGGTTCCGGCCCCTCAGAGGCCCCTAAAATGGGGGTCCCTGAGGTCCGGGCGCCCCCTCCCCTGACGCCGCGCTCACTCTCGCTGGGGCAGAAGCCGAACTGGCGGTCGGTGTCGTAGTTGGCCGTGGTGCTGCACCACGGGGCGTCGTCCGTGCGTCCGTCCGTGGTGCAGGCCCGGTACGTGCGGCCCTCGAAGGTGAAGGGGAAGTGGCACGGCGCGCCATTGGCGTTTCCGAAATAGGTGGGAACCACTGCGGAGGACGGAACGGGG